TGTGTGTACACATTAAGTCACCCAATGATACTGTGGAATTGTGTGTATGCATTAAGCTCTCTGTGCTGATTTTTATTTTTAAGACTTTTTTCATATATGAGTGGTCTCTTGTCTGCTACTCAAATTTATTTCCTTCCTTCCTTCCTTCCTTTTCTTTTTTTCCTTTTTTGTTTTTTTTTGAGACATTATTTCTCTGTGTGACAGCCTGGCTGGCCTGGAACTTCCTTTGTAGACCAGGCTGGCCTTGAATTCACAGAGTCAGAAATCTGCCTGCCTCTGCCTCCCGAGTACTGGGATTAAAGGCGTGGGCCACCACTGCCCGGTCATACTCTGGTTCCTCTTCAGATCATATAAGTCTTTTGCCTTTTACTCCGATTACTATGAAGTATCTTGTCATGTTATCATCTTTGCCTGTGCCCTGTATCCTACAGTGGCATCTTTGTTAATTTTAACCCTCATCCAAACTCTGTTTTACTCTGAGTAAAATTATTAATTTTGACATCTGTCAGTAGTCTCTTTCCAAATTGTTTCCTCTTCCTAATTTTCAACTTTTAAAATTTTTAATTTGGATTGATTTTGTTATACCCTAACCACTAACACATGCATATAAATTGATCAGAAACATGGTCTTAACAAATGTGAATTGAAGGTGCAATGTCCCCACAGGCTCATGTGTTTGAACACTTGGTCCCTAGCTGGTGGTACTGTTTTGGGTGCTGTGGAATATTCAGGAAGTAGAGGCTCACTGGGTTAAATGAGTTCCTGAGGATGGGTCTTGAGGATGCATGACCTAGACCTATTTTTCTCTTTACTCTCTGCTTCTTGAATGCAGATGCAATGTGATCAGTGGACCCTCACCTTTGGTGCTATGCCTTCCTTGTCATGTGATCAGTGGACCCTCACCTTTGGTGCTATGCCTTCCTTGTCATGTGATCAGTGGACCCTCACCTTTGATGTTACACCTTCTTTGTCATGTGATCAGTGGCCTCTCACCTTTCGTGTTATGCCTTCTTTGTCATGATGTAATATTTCTCCTTGAACTGTAACCTAAGTAAATCCCTTTTGCCAGTTACTTCTGTAGGGTGGTTTTGGCCAAAATCAGATAAAGAACTAATAGAAAAGATAGATAGTTGAAATTGTCTAGACTTAAATGGAGCATTTTATTGCTGTGTCTAAGGATGTCACTCAAACATGGTAAGGATCTAACTAGTAAGAATCACCTAAAGCAGCCATACCTAAATGAAAATACTGAGGAAATAGCTCATTAATTTCAGTGTTTTTAGGGTATAACAAAATACAAATTTGAACATGTATTCCAAATAATGTCAATTTTCAATCCTAGTTTTCCCTCAGTTGTAAGCTTTTGGGTGAAGAGGCCTTACTTGATTCATTAACAGTATACACTCAATTCATACTTAATAACACATGGAAGTATGACATTCACAGTTAAAGTTACAAAAACCATGCCTTCCAGTAAAGCCCCTTCCCAGCACATATGTCTGTACTGGGATGGGAAGATTGTATGGCAAATGTCGGACTCAGCAGGGAGGTCGATGTTGAAGACTCCTTCTCCTCGTGTCCTTACAAGGAGGCAAGCATGGAAAGTCCCTGAGGACACTGATCAGGACCAACTCTGAAAAACTGTTCATAGCTGAAGAATTTCTTGGATCAAGGAGAAGTGTGTTTAATACCATTCAAGATCAATGATCTGTGACCCATACAGCCTAGGGGGGAAAAACCCACTGCAGGGCTGCACCATCCCCTCTCACCAACTTAGTCTGGTGAAAGGAGGTGCAGTGAGGGGCCTGTGCGCTGTCGTCCTCTTCTGGGCACGCTCCCCACAAGGACTTCCTGCTCATTCAACGTCAACACAACGTCTTAACTCTAAGCCAGAAATGGAAAGTGAGAGGAACAGCATCAGGGTGATCCCCCCACCCCCGCCACCCCGAGATGCTCCAAGATTGATGGGCACTGGGTTTGGATAGGTTATTTTCAATATTCGTATTGTTTATCTTATGCCTACTAATAATGAACACTAGAATTTATTTGTAAGAGAGAATCCACAAAAAGTGTTGTTTATGCAATGACACAGTTACTGTTACTATAGGTTAGAATGCAAATCATAAACATATGACTTGAAAAATTATTTTTCTTACTGTGTTGGTCTCTCAGTGTCGCCAGTAGTTTTGTTCCTTTAATAATATTTAGGTCGTCATCTAAAGACACAAAACACATTTCAGAATACTATGTAACAGAAAAAAAATAAATGCACATTCCCAATTCTGCCAATACCACGCTTCACGGACATCAGGGTGGTGGTTAATTTTGAATGTCAGATGAAACTGGATTTACAATCTCATAGGAGGCAAACCTCTGAGTATGTCTGAGCGCAGGTTTCCAGAGAGGATTAATGGAGAATGAAGGGTGGGTAACACTAGCCCATGTATGAAAACGAGACTCGTCTGTGTGTCCCACGTCTCTCAACAGTTCTGCACTACTGTCACGTGAAATACAACTCCATATTGCAGAGACTGTGCTAACGTCATAATTATTTAAGTCATGCTATGCCTATTAAAAAAGTTGAAAGAAGAAAGAAGTAGCCATATATTTACTAATATATATACAAATATTTATTAATATTTGGTTGAATTACTTGGTTCTTTATGTTTGTTACTGTGAACCTGAGTTAACAGCCGGTATCATTTTCTTATGTGAATACAGCGACGTTCTCACCCTTCCCCTCTGTGCTGCACTAGGAAATTCCTCAACTTCTCTTTTAGTATTTGATCAGCATGTGCTACTTTTGCAGAATAGTGTGCTTCGCTTCAACATTTGTGCTATATTTCCACGATCATATAGGCCCAAAGACAGATTGATAATGTGTCAAATTAGTAACACAAGAGAGATGTAATGAACATACACACTGTCTTGTAATTATAGAATTATTGCTAGTTATGTTCTTTTTGGGTAGTATTAATTACTGTGTGAGGCCCCCAAGTCTCACCCAGAATAGCGTTTTAAAATCAGGGTGTTTATTAACACACACTATCTAAAATTTTGCTTTGTTGATATCCCATCTTCATTTTAAAAAGACAGTTTTGCACATTGTGAGATGCCTGGGTGAACTTCTCCTCATGTTTTGAATGTATATGCCCAGTGTTTCCCAGGGTTTGTAATTTCTGATCATCTCAGGGTCTTCCTTTTTAATGAAGAGTTATATCTTTTCTCACCGAGATTTGCTTTTCACCCTTTTTTTTGTTTGTTTTTTGTTTTTTGAGACAGGATTTCTCTGTGTTGCTTTGAAGCCTGTCCTGGAACTAGCTCTTGTAGATCAGGCTGGCCTCAAATTCACAGAGATCCTCCTGCCTCTGCCTCCTGAGTGCTGGGAATAAAGCTGTGCGCAACCACCGCCTGGCCTGCTTTTCACCGTTTGTAATACAGGGGATGGGTCTGGCTATGGATTTCATGGTGCTGATTTCATTGCAGTCTCCCAGTTTGGGTGTGGACATTAATAGCCATCCAATACATTAGAAATCAATTGTGATCTCTTCAGCCACCTTCCTGCTCTTTTTCTCTTCCTGTCTGTCTTTATATCGTCCACTTGCAACTTCTCTCACCCTTGCTTACATTTCAGAGCCAGTCCTCTGATTAGTTTTTCCTCAGAGTTACGTCCTTTCCCAGTCCTGTTGCAATCGTTGGTACCCTCTACAGGATGAGACAATGTTATGAACTGCAATATGTCGCTGTGATTCGCATCTGATGCTCTAGCAGCCAGTGAGCTACGTCTGGAGCCAAGGTCTCTGAGAAGACCATGAAGGCTCAACCAGTTCACAGGGTGAGTCCTTTCTGGTACTGGTGGTGACACTCAAAGAAAAGGGAGGGACTCGGGGAGGCTAGGGAGCTCTCTGCTTGTGTACTGACGCTGCTCCCTCACTAGAATTCTATAGGGGTGTTATTGGAGTGGATCGGTTTCAAGCTAGTAGCATTAGCTAACGGTCCATGAATGGTAGGCACAAGAGAGCCAGTTACAGGAGAGGATCTGTGGATAGCTGCTAAGGGGACAGCCGGTGCTCACTGTCACCTTGACATACTCTAGAATCATCCGGGAGATCCTCTTCTAGGAATGCCTCTGCCGCTTATGGAGACTGAGTTAACTCAAGTGGGAAGACCTGACCTGAGTCCAGGAGACTGGGACTGTCTAAGAGTAGAAACAGTCAGCTAAGGACTAGCGTGCATGTATCTATTGTTGCTTGCTTCCTCCCACTGTGAGGTGAAGTGGCCAGCTGCTTCAGGCTCCTGCTGCCTTGATTTTCCTGCCACAGTGGATTGTACTTGAACCTGTGAACCAGAATGAACCCCTTCTTCCTTAGGATGCTTTCATCACACCAATAGGAAGAGAAAACCAATATAGTTGGCAACTTAAGGGTAGAGCATTTAAGTCTAGCGGAGCTAATAAACATACACGTTAGACTTGAAAAGAAAAATATCTCTTCTTACCCTGCTTTCTCAATCCCATTTTCAGTGGTTCCTTTGGTTGGGATCTTGAAGGTATCCCTTTTAACTCTGTAAAGTAAAACTGGTTTGTAAGATACTTTGAAAGACAAACTGTAGCATCCAACTTTTTTCTCTTTCTCTCTGTTGTTTGCATACATGCATAGTAAAAATTATTTAATATTTATTATGAAATAATAATAATCAGAAGCTGGAAAGACAGTTCCATAGTTAAAAGACCTTAATGTTTTTAATGTAGGAGTGGTGTCTGGTTCCCAATCACCCATGCTGTGCAGCTTACACCTGCCTGTAACTCTAGCTCCAGGGCACCTGACCCCCTCTTAGAAATTCAAATTCATAGTATTTAAAATAGAACAAATACAAATAAATGTACAGCACATACTAGTTATATAAAACAATGGGCTTGGCCATGAAATTCTTATGCATCCACCCAACATTTTGATCATATTCTCTTATTACCGTTTCTAAATACCACCATGTCCTTTCTTTTTCTTCTCTGCATTAGTTTCATGATTTTCCCACCCCTAGATTCCACATATGAGAAAAAACATCCAGTCTCTAACCTTAAGCGTCATGGAAGTTCCCTAGTAGAAGAATATCTCCTTAGGTTATGTAACTGCACCAAGCGACAACAATGCCCACAAGAGAAAGTGTTCTCTCAGAGAAATAAAGGATTATTGGATACTGTGGCCATCAAGAGGGGTATGAGTAGCCAATGAAATAATTATCAATAATATTCTTCTTGTTGCTGACCATGGTGATCACTAACTCACACACACACACACACACACACACACACACACACCACACACACACACACACACACACACACACTCACACAGCAGTCAGTCTTCAGTTCATCCAGAGGTGTTTCCGTGGTTTTCCTGTTACATAACTCTAAATCTAACAGGTGCTGGTGATGGAAAGCAATAGCCAGCAATGCCAAGGAACAAAAGCCTTTCTACATCATCTTAGTAGGGAGATTTAGTACCTCAATGAGAGAAAAAGGAAAGAATTTAAAGAAGTTTTGGAATTAAGATTGTGGTTTTCTTCCATTCAGTGTTTTGTGATCTATACTTTTTCTTGTATTTAGAAATGGATATCTAGATGCATCACCAAAAACAAACAAACAAACTCTAAAATGAAGCATGTTAGAAAGCGTCTGCTTTGAGTGTGGTAGTTAAACATTAACTGGGAGGCCTATCACACCCAAAACGTTTTGTGTAGAAGCTGATTGCAGCAGGACACATACGGAAAGCCGAAGAATGTGTCCTGATACTGACACAGAATGGAGAAATGGCTGCAACTTAGACATTTTTATTGTTATGTATTTATTGTAAAGAGTGAAGGGATTTATAATGGAATTTTTGTTCAAGTACTAATGTACTTAGGTTATATTCACCCAGCACTTTTTCTTCTACTCCCTTCCCCTGCCCTCTTCCTTTTCCCAGAGAAGAGACTGTCAGCTAGTGTAAATAACTGCCAAGTCTATCTTCTTTATTTTCATCAGTCTGTAAGTCTGTGTTGTCCCTCACTGATTAAAAGCACCTCACCACCTAAATTGGAAGTAGAATGTGATAGAAATAACACTATGCACCAGTTTCTGTAATCTATGCTTGCTAAAACTGTGACTGATTTTGGTGGAACATTTCCTAAATGAAATGCTATCTAGCTAACTTTCAATTTTTAATAAATACCTGGTCTACAAAAAAATAAGAGAGTGCACAGACGGCTGTCCATGTCACAATAACAAAAGTTTTGTCACTAAAGGTGCACATTAATGAAGACAATGATGAAAAGTATTAAACTGAAGTTTTCTTACCAAGTCCAGTCTTGGAGCGTGCCTTGAATTCACTTTTTAATAAATGACGTTCAAAGGCCTCCTTCAAGTTTTGTAGGTCATTCTCTGTAGAAACGATGGATTTCAAAGACATTTGGTAAGGCAATTTCAAGATAGAAATGTAAAATTTTTTGTATGTGTGATATTCACTTTATTAGACTTTGACATTGATGAACTCTGGACTGTCACACCATGTAACTTTGGAACAGGAACATCTATGTGCACACACATAAGCCTCCATGCATTGAAGTTCAAGATCTTTGTTCCAAAAACACACATCCAAGTAATAATGTCATTCTTCCATGAACCGGTGCCTCAGAGTTCTTTAACTAACATTTGCCACAGAGACATCTCCTATCAAAGTTTACTACCGAGCTTACTGAAAAGGAGATGTGTAGGTGAACAGTGATGATCTAGATTGGTGACAGAGTCAACTGAATCCACAAGGAAGTGTTAAAGCCCATGGTCAACTTTAGAAGCCATCTCAGACTGGTGCCTCTTCACACCCGGGAGGCAATGGGAATGTGCAGCTATGGCTCCCTCCTCCTTTCCTATTTTATGCACATTTTTACACTTTGCACATATAAATATTCTACACTATTATATTTTTATTTTTATACATTGCACATATAAATACCCTGCACTATTACATTTTTATTTTTATACACTGCACATATAAATACTCTGCACTGTTATATTTTATTTTTATATACTGCACATATAAATACCCTGCACTATTATATTTCTTTTTTTTAGATTACTCCCATTTTATTCTGAGTGCCAATGATGAAATTATTCTGAAACAAATCATTGGGTCACAAAATGCCATTTCTTCAACAAATAAAAATTTAGTGGAAAAATTATACCTTAATTACATACAGACAAAACTCATTAAAGTGTAGTATATTTTCCTCCAGTGTTTTTTAAATGAGACTTGTTTAAATTAGGTTTTTTTTTTACCACTCATAGATTTACTTTTTATTCAATGTAATGTTATAGACTTCTTACTTTGTTGAACCATGCCTGAGAACTCAAAGAAAGAAACGGTGCGATAGACAGCCATATCCACCAAGACAGTGTATGAAAACTTGATTCATGTGCGTTTTGATAATTTTACAATCTTAAAAAAAAAGTATGCCAAGACTTGGAATTTACATCTGCAGCAGGTCTTCAGTATTCCAGTACAGTATGCCATTAAACAAACCTCTTCACATCTGTCTCCAGTCACTTCTCAAACCTTAACCCCAAACAGAGTGGGGGTAGGGGAGCCTACTTTAGGGTAAGTCTGTGACTCAAGGTGTGAGATTACTTTTTAAGGTTTTTGGTGCCCAGTTTAACCAAGTTTTCAGTGTAACCAAGAATCTCAAACTTCTAACGACCCAACTTCCTCCTGACTGGCTCAGATCATGCCAACGTTATTGCCCAGAATGGCAGGCAGTTGGTCAGGAAACACTGGCCAACACCTCCCGCTTCCCACACAACACTGCTGCGTTCATTCACCAAACTGCAAGACATTGTCTCAAGTTGGGAGAGCTTTCCTCGTTTCCTGTGGCATGCCTGTCAGTAGTGAGCAAGTCTGAACTGCTTAAATTAGTTTTTAATCACACTGTAAATACAACTGTGTAAACCACTCCTTTCTTATAAGACTATTTTAGCATACAAATGAATCCTATGTCACAGATACTAACCTGCATTTGGGAGAAGGAAGCCTGCCATTCCAGGGCACAGCAGTGATGACAATAATATATTATACAGTTGATATCTAAAAGGGGACCCTGAGCATTTGTGCCACAGAGGAAGGAGAACTGTGTAAGGCACCAGGTCTGACAGCTACTCTGGTCATTCCTTACAGAGCATCTACATATACTGAAATGTCACAGGATACCCCAAGAGCACGTTCAATTATGCGTCAACTGAGATTTTCTACGTTGGTGGCTTTGTAGGCAGCAGTTGTATATAACTGCACATGGGTGGCTCTGGAAGTTCACAGTGAGTACAATTGGATCCTTGTGCGTAAAGTGTTTTCCCTTTTAATTGAGGCAAAAACCTGACTGTGGTAATGTTTCTGACACACACTGCTAAGATCTTTCCAACTCTGCCAACACCAGCAGCCATGCACACAAAGGTCTGTTCTGCTGCCCTGTGCCCTGATGACCTTTCTCATTCTGATTGCTTTTTTTCTTTTTTAATTGTTTTTATTGAACTATATATTTTTCTCTGCTCCCCTCTCTTTCTCCCCTCTCTCCTACTTCCATCTCCTGTGTACTATTATATTTCTTTATGAAGCTTCTCCCTTTTAAAGGAAATGATTCATGAAAGCATACACAACATTTGTGTTCTGCAAGAACCTTTGTTTTTTGACATTTCTGGATCTAGGCATTTGTTTCTCTGTGAGCTACCTCCTTAAGCACCATTTTCTTATTCCTTGACATCCTACCTGCTCCCACCTGCCCACACCATCTGGCTGTAGAGCAATGGGTCACATAGTTCAGTTATAAACCCAACAATGTGTTGTACGTGTGTGTAGTATTCAGCTGCCTTTTCAATCAATTGAGACAAGAAAGGAGATGACATGCTCACTTGCATACTCTTTTATAACTGGAGAGCCACGTTCTCTTTTTGTCTGTGGGAGTTCAGATAATTGAACTGTTGGCGTGTCTTTATCTTGAAGTTTCTCTGAAAGTTTCTTGGGTATTCGTTAGTATATATTTGTTGCGATGGGTTTCATCATGATGTTTTCATCCAAGTATATGACATAACTTGAAGATTTTTACCTCCGCTACCATCCCATGTTCCCCCCTCTCCGCTTGTCTGCTTCCCCTTCCTAATCATTATACTTTCATATCACACACGTGGACATACACACACATGTGTGATTCCATATGTGAGAGAAAACATGCAACATTCATCTTTCTGACTTTGGATCATTTTTTAAAACTATGACAGTCCATTATCATGACAACAGCAGAATCTCTGTGTCTGGTGAGGACGAGGGAAACTCCATTACGTAAGTGTGCCACACTGCCTGCGCCTGCTGAGACAGGATCTCTGGTGCCGCGAGTCGTACCTTCATAAACAGGGGCGCACAGCTCTCTCTGGGGTACTCCGACTTAGATCCTTTCAAGGTTGTACCGGGGCGACATAGCTGGGTTACCCCGTAGTTCTCATTCTAGCTTTGGGAGAAGCCCCTATACCCTCCAGTTTACACCCATCCTTCCTCGCCAGCATCCTTGCTGTTTGTGAACTGCACCCTTCATTCCTCCTTGTAATGGCCGGCTTATGTTCGGGTAGGGTTTGATCGGATGTTCGGCTGACAACGGCTTTCTCCTACTCTACAGATTGGTAGGTGTTTGCTTTGCTGAGCAGAGGCCTTTTCTCTCATGAGAGCCCATCGGTCAGTTCTTTGTCGTGCTTCCTGAGCTGCTGGGTCATTTTCAGGAAGCCTTTGTCTATGCCTGCATGTTGAAGACTTCTCCGTGCCTCTCCAGCAACTGTGTTTCATGTCTGTCTTCCTTGGCTCAGAATCCTGTCGGAGTCTGTGTGAGATCAACCAAGGACACCCCTCCACCTCTCTCATCTCCTCTCCCTGCAAGGCTGAAGACACCGAGGAACATCTGCAGCAACATTGGAGTCTAGGCCCCCGAGAGTCAGGAGAGGGAGCCATGGAGATAGCAGTCATTCATGGGGGTGAGGCTGCTCTGGACAGACTGATCCCTTCACACGATGACAGTAACCATAGCTTGTTCAGAGAACCTGCAGAACCAGGACTGAGGCCACACCCTCACTAGGACTGTTTTCTTGGGCTTTCTTGACCCAGTTCTTCCTCCGCTCATTTTTAAATTTTTTTGGTTTTGTTTTTTGGTTTTTTTTTTGTTTGTTTTGTTTTTTTGTTTTTTTGAGATAGGGTTTTGCTGTAGCTATGGAGCTTGTCCTCAGCCTAGCTCTTGGAGACCAGGATGGCCTGGAATTCACAGAGATTCCTTTGCCTCTGCCCCCACAAGTGCTGGGATTAAAGCTGTGTGCTACCCCTGCCAGAGGATCTTCTCTATTTAATCCAAAGGTAGACAGATTGTTGATCCCCTTCCCCAGGGTGCTGATCAGATCTCCCTTCTCTGTTTTTTTTTTTTTTTTTTTTTTTTCTTTTTCACTACTCCTTAAGTCTTTAGTCAGCCTAGCCTGTTGGGGCTGCTGAAGCTGAGGATTCTAGCCTAGAGCTCTGGTTACAAAAACGCCTCATATGGTGTTTTATATCCTGTGAATTTGTTCCTGTTTTCTTTATCAGGGTGCCCTCTTCTACATAAGCTTTACAGTCAATGTATCAATTTTCAGTAAAAATGTGGTTGGCGTCTTAGCTGTAATTTGCATTGAGTCCATAGATAAATTTTAAGGAAATGAGTTTTAAAAGCCCCATTTTTCAGTTTATAAACCTGTAATGTGCTCCCATTTCTTTAAGCTTTTTAAGACTACTTTTATTAATATTTTGTAGTTTTCTGTGCAACTATTATCCACATATAGAGACTGCTGTATTAGGCTATTTGCAGAGTTAATGCTTACTATATTCTGTACTCTAAATTATATATATTTTTTACTCATTGAGTTCTCCATCTCCAAGATGTTTAATTCTACTTTATGATTATCTGTCTGTGTTGCTTTTCTCAGTTAGAACATGAATTGCTTTCCCGAGTCACTGAACTGTCTACGTATATGTTTTCAAATTTCTTTGATGTTATTTTAAATTATTTTTTCATGCAATTACTAAAATTCCATAGTTTGGGGGTCTTTTAAACATTAGATATAAAAACAAATACTACAATTCAAAACTCCAACAGCCCTGAAGTTCTTTCTTTTTCCTGTGGTTTAGTTACTGCCCGGCAGCTCTTTGTTTGAACTGAAGAGGGCGCCCTTTAGCACTTAGTAAAGGGTGTGTCTGCTGTTAATGCCTTCAATTCCATAAAACTTCCTTTCCCTATTGAATGTGGCTTTTCCCCTCTGGTTTCTCAACTGAACTTTGCTGTGGTTTCTTGCTTGCTTGTTTGTTTGCTTTTTAAATTGTTTCTGTTTGGGAAAGACAGCTTGGATGTTGTTGGCTTGCCATTTTGTTGAAGTTTGGTGGTTACTTTTGGGATTGAAGTTTGAAGGATGCCATTATCAGCACACATCCTAAATTCTGATGTATTTTGATAATCTTTTCTATTATCTAAATTTCCCACCTGAGTGACAAGCACACTCTAAGCTCATCACAGGCAAAGGTGAATACACTATACATCACATGATTGGTTATTTGACGGAACAAATGATACATAATGTAAAAATACTAATACATAGGGCTATTAGAGCTAGTTTATTATTGAGAAAGGGTAGCTCTTGTTTAAACTTTCTTTTTTTTTTTAACTAGAAAGAAACAAATTGCAAAGTTGAAACACCGTACCGATTGGACCGTGTTCCGTAGTGTTAAGGCATCAACATGTACTTACCAACCACTTTGTCCATATCCAAGCGAAATATGATCTCACTAATAATTGGGTTTAGTGTTTTTAGTGGTTCGGATGTCTTCTGAAAGTCTGTGACGGATTTGGTCTCAGCTGTAATAACAACAGACTCCAGATCAGTTCATTGCCCGTGAACATTCTGAGGTAAAGTTGAATCACTTAATAGGATGATGAGGAGGACTTGTTAAGCAATTATCTTGAAGAGGTGGAGCCAAGTTAGGGTGTGGCTTTCTGGGACCCAGAGGGGAAAAAAAAAAAACGGACACATGGCTCAGGTGCCCTCTCTCTCTCTCACTGTGGTTCCCACACAGCACAGCTGAGCTTGGACTTCTCGTTCCTTTTTTGTGAGTTTTTCCCTTATACTAAATAAAAATAAATTACTTTATCTTTTAGCTAGCCTGGTTATTTACCGAATCGAGCTGCCTTCTACAATGGGACTCCTTAGAGACAGCACACACTACAACTGCTCAACTTTATTGACTTCACAACCTGACATTAGCTGAAGAAAAATGCATCAATATTTCAAGATTTACTTTTATTAATGTGCATGTATGTTATGTGAGTTAAGTTTGTGCGTCTGTATGTGTGAGGGTCGTGTGAGTGCCGGTGCCCACAGAGGTGAGACGTTTTCTTTGGAGCCCTTGGAACTGGAGTTAAAGGCTGCTGTGAGTAACGGGACTGGGAACTCAATTCCAAGAAACAGAAAGTGCTTTTAAGCACTTAGCCCTTTCTCTAGCCCTAACTCATCAATTTACAAAAGCTTATAAAATACATGCTATACAACAATTATCCTGCTGACACTGCTTTGTGTGTGTGACGTATGTACATTGGTACACACTCATTTGAGTGTAGGTGTGTTGGTGTCAGGTGGCCTCTTCTATCACTCTCTGTTTGTTGAGAAGAGATTTTTGTCACTGAATCTGAGGCTTGCTGATTCATCTTGAATGGCTGCCGCTTGAGACACAGAGACCTGCCTGTCTGCACTCCCTCCAGCCCTGGGGAACGGACATGAGCTGCCATGCTCAACTGAAATATTTTTAAACTCTATCTATCTGTCTGTCTGTCTGTCTATCTATCTATCTATCTGTCTGTCTGTCTGTCTGTCTGTCTATCTATCTATCTATCTATCTATCATCTACCTACCTATCTATCTATCTATCTATCTATCTATCTATCTATCTATCTATCTATCTACCTATCTATCTATCTATCTAACTATCTATCTATCTACCTACCTACCTACCTATCTATCTATCTATCTATCTATCTACCTACCTACTTATCATCTATCTATCTATCTATCTATCTACCTACCTACCTATCATCTATCTATCTATCTATCTATCTATCTATCTATCTATCTATCTATCTACCTACCTATCTATCTAACTATCTGTCTATCTATCTATCTATCTATCTATCTATCTATCTATCTATCTATCTACCTATCTATCTAACTATCTATCTATCTGTCTGTCTGTCTGTCTATCTACCTACCTACCTACCTATCTACCTATCTACCTATCCATTCATTTATGTGTGCATGTGCGTTTGTGTGTATGCAGGAAGGCACACACATGTATATCACAGTGTCAACGTACAGGGGAGTCAGTTTTATTCTCCCTCAGTTTGGGTTCCAGGGCTTAAACTCAGGTCATCAGGCTTGGCAGTAAGTACCTTTACCATCTGAGCCATCTTGCTGGATTCCATGACCAACTTTTTAGGAGGGTTCTAGGGATCTGAACTCAAGTCCTCATATCTGGGTATTTCTGCAGCCTCAGAGATGATCTCACTTTATCCTCACAGCCCCTGAATAGCATTTAAGCCCCGCCCAGACGAAGACAGTAGAGTGTAGAAATACATACTGTACATATATGTACATAACAAATACATACTGTAAAAAGGTACTTCGTTAGGGAACGTAGGAACTTGGGATGGAATGATTCCCTTTTATTTCATAACCTGTTCTCTAGGTCACAGCTCAAATGTGCAATGGGACCAAGCATGTAATGTGTGGGACATGGATTTGGTAGTGATTGGTAGCATGAAGAAGGGAAGGGAGGTGTGGAAGAGCTGTTTCTCTCTTGTCAGAATGACCCTCACTCCCATCTGTCTATAATGTTTTAGTCTAGTCATGGACACTTGGATGATCTCCAAGAAGATGAAGCCTTGCTATGTGCTTTCTCTACATCTCTAGTCATCTGAGGCCCACAGAAACAGCACTGTCTGGTTCAGTATCTGCCACTAGGGACACCGGATGGTGCGGGATTGCAGCCTATGGGTGCTGCCCCTCTGTAGCTTCACATGGCACAAGAGAAAAGGAACGAGGCATTCCCTGACACTGTTTTCGAGAGAACTTATCCCTTTCACAAGAGTGGGGCTTTTCTGGCTCAGACACTTCAGAGTGAGCATTACTATCCAACAAATGGAGTGGGAGGGAGGTGGCCATTTATATTTAGAGCTTTCAAAATTATACAAAAATAGAATAATTTGTCTGGACAATAGCTAATACAATTTATCAGACAATGGTAACTGATAAAATTGAAATATGAATATAAGAAGAATATACTTTAAAAATGGAAATAAATGTGACATAGCTACACAATTCTTAGAAAAGTATTTCTTAAAGTGATAGTTCATGAAATATTACTACAAATAAGAAAAAAGAAGAGCCTTTTTCTCAAGTGGGAATGTTTATAAAAACTTCATACATGTTGTTTGTGTTCATGTGTATGAAAGCATGTGCACACATGCTACGGTGTGTTTGAAGGTCAGAGGGCAGCCCTGGGTGTTGTCCTCACCTTCCATTTTGTCTGAGGCAGGGCAGGGGCTCTCTTGTTCATCCCTGTGTGCTTCTGACTAGCTGGCTAGCAAACTCCTGGGCATTCTCCTCTGTCTCCCTGGAAGTACAGACGCTATGCCATCTGGCTTTACATGGGCATATGGGTCTTGTGCTTTAGGGCCAGCGCTTTCCCACTGAGCTATTTCTCGAACTCCAAATAAAACTTTTAAGTGCAGTGTAGGTTGGGGACATCAAGAACTGCAGGGCGCAAAGGGCCAGTAGCGCTTTAACACTCAGCAGCGCCGTCAACTTAAATCCTGGTCAGTTAAGCTCTGAAGTGTTCACTCTGAGAAAGATTTAACTATAAAGCCACAAATAAAGTTGACCCACATTTAAAACAGTTGTAAATCATTAAACATTTCACGACTCTTATTTGAAATGTATTTAAAATATGCTACACACCTTTCTGTCCTACTTGATCCATGGATTGTAATTTTAGGTCTTCATTTGTAAAGACTCTGATCACATTTTCACCTACCCAAAATGAAAAGAAACACACAGCATTTTAAATATTAAACATAACAACATTGAGGCTTATGAATTATAGCCTAGTTCTAAAGTTACTCAAATGTCTGAAAGTTAGGTACATTTTTTACTCATCAAGAAGAAGAATGTTATTTAATGTCAGAAGTTAATTTGACAGATCAGGAATCATTATGCTCAAACTGAACAGTTAGGATTATGTTTACTCCTAGACATTTATTCCCATAAGATAATATCATTTCTGTTTTAACCCTATAGCTGACACCTTGATTTCCATATTCAAGTTGTGAATACACAAGAATTTAAACAATAATTTTCCTACAA